GGGTGGAGAGGGAGGTGGGAGGGGGGACCGGGATGGGGAATACATGTAAATCCATGGCTAATTCATTTCAATGTATGACAAAAACCACTGCAATGTTGTAAAGTAATTAGCCTCCAACTAATAAAAATTAATGGAAAAAATAAAAAAAATAATATTTTTTTAAACTTTAAATGACAAGATATGGAATTTGGCATTGATTAGCTTTTAGGCATGAGGGAATATTAATTTTTAAATTAGAGAATTGATAAGATGTGATCTGTTTCAGGGAGATATTAGCAACAGGTCAGAAAAATGAGGTTGGGACAATGCTTGGGACAGAGGATAGGGTTTCCTAAGTAAGAGTCGTCAGTGAAGTCTAGGTGAGTGCTAGGCACATCTTGTCTGGATCTATGGATGCTGTTAATGTGCAAACACCAAGCCTAGCAATTGCTTCCATTAAACTTAGTGAGACTTGCTGGAACTTCTGTTCAAGCTGGCTCAAGGGAACTTAATGTAAAAGACGTCTACGGTAGTCTCCTTTTATACTCAGTTTTAGTTACCCACCATGAATCTCAGTCTGCAAATATTAAATGGAAAATTTCAGAAGTAAAGAATTCATAAGTTTTAAATTGCATGTTGTTCTGTCTAGTGTGATGAACTCCAAGGCTGACCCTGCTCCATCTCCAGAGGGACATCCTTCAGTCTGGTACATCCCTCATTAAGTCACCTAGTCACCATGCCCATGGTCAGATAGACTTTTTCAGTGTAGCAGTGCATGTGTTATTTTACTGCATAATGCCCCCAAAGTGTAAAAGTAGTGATGCTGGCAATTCTGATATGCCAAAGAAAAGCCATAAAAGTGCTTCCTTTAAGTGAAAGAGGGAAAGTTCTCAACAAGGAAAGAAAAAAAAAAAGTATGCTGAGGTTTCTAAGATCTGGGGTAAAGACAAATCTTCAATCTCTGAAATTGGGAAGAAGGAAAAAAACATGTAAGCTAGTTTTGCTGGTGAACTTTAAACTGCAAATTTAGGTCCACAGAAAGTGATAAGTGCTTAGTTAAGATGGAAGAGGCATTAAATTTATATAATAGGATATTTTGAGCTAGTGCGAGATCATGTTTACATAACTTCTACTGCAGGGGATCTTTATAATTTGTTCTATTTTATTTATTGTTGTTGTTAGTCTTTTACTGTGCCTAACTTGTGAATTAAACTTTATTGTAAGAATATAATTATTAGGAAAAACACATAGTGCACACACACACGCACACACACACATATATATATGTAGTATCTACACACACACACACACACACACACACACACACACATATATATAGAGAGAGGAAGTTTGATACTATCTGTGATTTCAGGCATCCACTTGGAATATATTCCTCATGAATAAGAAGAATTTGTTAAAGTAATTTGCTACATGACTTGAGTACTGATATTAAGCACTGTAATTTGTCAGGTAAAGTATAGCCCAAGGAATTCAAATGGCAATAATAACAATAACAATGGCACTGCTAATTAATAGCTAAGATGTATGCTGTGTGTGCTCCATAGCATATTCTTATCACTGTGCTGTTTTACCTGAAGTAGCTCATATAATGCTTGAAGTTTATGAATCAAGTATCGTTTCTCTGTTTTAGGTGGGAAAACCAAGCTCAGAAGTGGATTTAACCCAAGTTCATATCCCTGGCAAGTGGCAGCAGAGGGATCCAAACCAAGCACATCGAAGAACAGCCTGTCCTGTGACCCTGGGATGCACCGTCTCCAAGAGCTAAAGCATCACACTATGGATAATGGAACACACTCCTTTCAACATTACTGGCTGGGGCTAGTTGAGCCTCAGTGTCTCCACTGAGTTAATAGGGATTTTGTAGGGATATTTTGTAGGGATATTTTGAAAGCTAAAATTCATAATGTGTGCAAAATGTTGGGCACGAAAAATATTTCAATCAATTAGCTGATGATGAGCTTTGAGAATTCAGGTGGTAAGCAACACCCAGATCCTGGCAACATTATCTTAGTTGATGGTTCATTCATTGCAGTCCTCCAACACAGCGCTGAGAAATGGGGAAATGAGGCAGGGCTGTGCCCAGGGCCTGAGGGAGGAGGCTCTTTGGGAAAACCCAGGTGGCATCCCATCAGTAGACATGCCTACAAGGATTCCAGTCACAGAACTTTCTCTATGGAAGTTCAGCCCTATAGACTCACGCAGCCACAGACAATGGCTGGGTGCAGTGGGGCAGAAGACTGGAGGGAAGAATTTGTAAAAATGCAGTCATGTAGATGGGGCTTCCCAGGTGACTCAGTGGTATAGAATCCGTCTGCCAATGCAGGAGATGCAGGTTCGATCCCTGGGTTGGGAAGATTCCCTTGAGGAGGAAATGGCACCCCACTCCAGTATTCTTGCCTGGGAAATCCCATGGACAGAGAAGCCTGGCCTGCTACAGGTCATGGGGTCACAAGAGAAACACAGCTTAGCAACTAAACAACAACAGCAAGCCATGCGGATACCCAGGGTTTTTCCAAGTCATAATAGATGCTGTGTTTATGTTGGCAAGATGAATTCCTGACTCCACCAGCCAGAGTACCGCAGGCAGGATTGTTGGATGTTTCTGACATTCTAAAGGCTTTGTTGAAGCCTGGAAAGAGTGAACAAAATAGATGAATGAAGGGCAGCTTTAAGAAACTATGGCCAGAGGCAGAGACTTCAGGGCATGTGGAAGGAGAGGAGAGTGATTTGTCTAGTTTAGGAAGCCAGGAATAAGGTATCCTCTTAAAGTCCCTGCTTTCAGGCCCCACACTGCACTGATTTATGCTGGAAATGCACACATTTCCAGCAGCACACACACACAGAGACACACGAGGAAGGCACATACATACATTTAACAATGGACAGCTACGCTTCAGAGAATGAGAATTGGCTCAAGTACTTGTCAACTGATTCTGTAGAAGAAAAAGAATACAAACAATGGTGAAATATGACAAATAGATTTTATCACTTATCCACTTGGACCAGTGCCTGGATCTTGGCCTTCAGAAGGTTTCTGAGCCCTTAGCCTGGAGTTTGAGATCATTTGCTGTCACCTTATCTATTCATTTGTCTGTTTATGTCTCTCTTTCCCAATAGAAGCTACACTCCTTAAAGACAGGGCATCATCTGTCTTTTCATTCCTGGATCCCCAGTATAGAGCACATAGTTGAGTGCTTGAGAAATAACCATTGAATGAATGAGTGAAAACATTCTTGGCAATATTTAGGTCACTGTCCTCTTTTATTCCAGAATATTAAAAATAAAAAAGAGGCTTCCCTAGTGGCTCAGCAGTAAAGAATCTGCTTGCCAATGCAGGAGATGTGGGTTCGATCCCTGGATTGGGAAGATTCCCTGGAGAGGGAAATGGCTACCCACTCCATATTCCTGCCTGGAGAATTCCATGGACAGAGGAGCCTGGCAGGCTTCAGTCAATGGGTCTGAAAGAGCCAGACACAACTTAACGACTAAACAACAAGAACAATTAATAATAATAATTTTTAAAAGTTCAAAGTTATAAAGTATAAACCGAAGCTTAGGTATAGTGAGTGAAGTCACTCCGTCGTGTCCAACTCTTTGCCAACCCCATGGACTGTAGCCGACCAGGCTCCTCCATCCATGGGACTTTCCAGGCAAGAATACTGGAGTGGTTGCCATTTCCTTCTCCAGGAGATCTTCCCAACCCAGGGATTAAACACGGGTCTTCTGCATTGTAAACAGACACTTTACTGTCTGAGCCACCAGAGAAACCATCTTATGAGCCATCTTATCTCTATTCCTCCTCTTCCCACTTGAAAACAAAATAACTGTTCTATCAAGAGCCCCCATTAAGGTTAGAATTTATTCTGTAAGCAAAGGGGATTTTAAAGGTTTTCAAGGAGGTGATTGACAAGGCAAATGGATTTCTATTTTAGAAAGATACTTTGGAAGCAGTATGCAACATAGATTAGAATCTAAACAGACTGCAAGAACAGAATCCATTTAGAAAACTGTTCATCTGTGATAGCCATGCAAATCAGTAAATATTGGGACAGGATAGTGTTGGTAGAATACCATGGGGAGCTACAGAGCTATGTAGAGTAGGTACAAATGCCTTCACTAATAATAATAACAACATTGCTAATAATGGTAATAATAATAACACTAAAAATAAAAATAATTAACATTTATTAACTGTATATTCTCTGCCAGGGACTCTTCTAAGATGTACAGTGAGTTGTCCAAGTTTGCACAGCTAACAGTAAATGGAAAAGTTGGAATCCAGACATAAAGCTTTTGACTGTAAGCCCAGACCCCTATTCACCATGCTACTAACAAAATCTTAAAGTATAATATCTAATTTATCTATGCAAATGCATATTATTTATAGAATGCACTTTGCTTTTAGGTTGTAAGCTTTGTTAGACTTTAAGCTTCTGGAAGGCAAAAGCAATGTTGGCTTTTTTGTTTGTATTTTTTAGCTCACGGGCTTCCCTAATAACTCAGGTGGTAAAGAATCTGCCTGCAATGCAGGAGACTCTGGTTCATTTCCTGGGTTAGGAAGATCCTCTGGAGAAGGGAAAGGAAACCCACTCCAGTATTCTTGGGCTTCCCTTGTGGCTCAGTTGGTAAAGAATTCATCTGCAATGCAGGAGACCTGGGTTCGATCCCTGGGTTGGGAAGATACCCTGGGGAATGGAATGGCTATCCACTCCAGTATTCCAGCCTGGAGAATTCCATGGACTGTATAGTCCATGGGGTAGCAAAGAGTCAGACACAACTGAGCAACTTTCACAGTTTTCTTGACTCATGTATACACAGGCAGTCATATACATGCACGTATATTGTATGCATGTATGTGCATATATATTCATTGATATATAAGAGGCAAAGGAGAAAAGGAAAGATATACCCATTTGAATGCAGAGTTCCAGAAAATAGCAAGGAGAGATGAGAAAGGCTTCCTCAGTGATCAATGCAAAGAAATAGAGGAAAATGATAGTATGGGAAAGACTAGAGATCTCCTCAAGAAAATTTAAGATACCAAGGGAACTTCATGAAAAGATGGGCACAATAAAGGACAGAAATGGTATGGACCTAACAGAAGCAGAAGATATTAAGAAGAGGTAGAGAGAATACACAGAACTGTACAAAAAAGATCTTCATGACCTAGATAACCACAATGGTGTGATCACTCACCTAGAGCCAGACATCCTAGAATGTGATTTCAAGTGGGCCTTAGGAAGAATCACTATGAACAAAGCTAGTGGAGGTAATGGAATTCCAGTTGAGGTATTTTAAATCCTAAAAGATGATGCTGTGAAAGTGCTGCACTCAATATGCCAGCAAATTTGGAAAACTCAGCAGTGGCCACAGGGCTGGAAAAGGTCAGTTTTCATTCCAATCACAAAGAAAGGCAATGCCAAAGGATATTCAAACTACTGCACAATTGCACTCATCTAGTAAAGTAATGCTTAAAATTCTCCGAGCCAGAGTTCAAAAGTATGTGAACCGAGAACTTGCAGATGTTCAAGCTGGATTTAGAAAAGGCAGAGGAACCAGAGATCAAATTGCCAACATCTGTTGGATATTGAGAAAGCAAGAGCTTTCCAGGAAAACATCAACTTCTGCTTTATTGACTATGCCAAAGCCTTTTATTGTGTGGATCACAACCAACTGTGGAAAATTCTTAAAGAGATGGGAATACCAGACCACCTGACCTGCCTCCTGAGAAACCTGTATGCAGGTCAAGAAGCAACAGTTAGAACCAAACATGGGACAACAGATTGGTTCCAAGTCAGGAAAAGCGTAAATCAAGGCTGTATATTATCACCCTGCTTATTTAACTTATATACAGAGTACATCATGAGAAACACTGGGTTGGATGAAGCACAAGCTGGAATCAAGATTGCCGGGAGTAACATCAATAAACTCAGATACCCAGATGACACCACCCTTATGGCAGAAGGTGAAGAAGAACTAAAGAGCCTCTTGATGAAAGTGAAAGAGGAAAGTGAAAAAGCTGGCTTAAAACTCAACATTCAGAAAACTAAGATCATGGCATCCAGTCCCATCACTTCATGGCAACTAGATGGGGAAACAATGGAAACAGTGACAGACTTTATTTTCTTGAGCTCCAAAGTCACTGCAGATGGGGATGGCAGCCATTAAAAGATGCTTGGTGCTTGGAAGAAAAGCTACGACCAACTTAGAGAGCATATTAAAAAGCAGAGACATTACTTAGCCAAAAAAGGTCCATCTCATCAAAGCTATGGTTTTTCCAGTAGTATGTAAGGATGTGAGGGTTGGACTACAAGGAAAGCTGAGCACTGGAGAACTGATGCTTTTGAACTGTGGCGTTGGAGAAGACTCTTGAGAGTCCCTTGTACAGCAAGGAGATCAAACCAGTGCATCCTAAAGGAAATCAGTCCTGAATATTCATTGGAAGGACTGATGCTGAAACTCCAAAACTTTGGCCACCTGATGCGGAGACCTGACTCATTGGAAAAGACACTGATGGGAAAGGGGGACAACAGAGGATGAGATGGTTGGATGGCATCACTGACTCAATGGACATGAGTTTGGGCAGTCTCCAGGAGTTGGTGATCAGGAAAGACTGGGGTGTTGCAGTCCATGGTGTTGCAAAGAGTTGGACATGACTGAGCAACTGAACTGAACGTACATGAGAAAAGTGAAAGTGTTATTTACTCAGTCTTGTCTGACTCTGCAACCCTATGGACTGTAACCCTATGGACTGTAGCCCACCAGGCTCCTCTGTCCATGGGATTCTCTAGGCAAGAACACTGGAGTGGGTAGCCATTGCCTTCTCCAGGGGATCTTCCCAACCCAGGGATCTAACCCATGTCTCTTACTGTCCTGCATCAGCAAGGGGATTCTTTACCACTAGTGCCACCGGGAAGCCTGTGTGTATACACACACACACACACACATATGGTTCAGCTGGGTGAATGAGCCTGACCTACATTGGTCTGCATTTTAACAAGGAGCCATGGAGATGGACAGCTTGTCCCAAAGCATACCCTTCTGATGCAGACTCTCCAGCAAGCAACAGAATTCTTTTGAGAGATCATAGAGCCCTTCTTTATCCCTCCAATAGCAGGTTGAAATTCACACTGGTAACCCCCAAGCCTCTTTCCTGAACACAGTTCTTTGTACTTGGGTGGGGTGGGAGGATTGAGGCTCTGAGAAGGACCAAGGGGATGATGCAGGGCATTGCCAGTGCTCAGAGAAATCTTTAATATGTCCTCACAGTTAACTGTTCCTCTCTCTCTTTCCTTCCAACTTGCTGCTTTC